CCTTCCTTCCGAGGAGTGGCTGGTGGGTTTGAACTGCCAGCCTTCTGGTTAGCAGTCAAGTGCCTTAGGCATTATGCTACCAGAGCTCCCTCCATAAGGATTAGAGCCTAGGAATCCCTATGGGAGCAGTTCTACTCTGTCCTATAAGCTCACTATGAGTCAAAATTAATTTAAAGGCAGCAGTTTTGTTTTTTAACTGGGCTATGTTAGACATTTTTTTGTTTTTGCTTACTTCTTTATATTACTGTCATTACCACTGCTGCTACTGTTGCTGCTACTACACTACTCACCAACAACAAACTCACTGCTATCGAGTTGAGTCCTACTTATAGTGACCCCCTCCTTGGGTTTCTGAGGAGGTATCACTATGGAAGTAGATTGCCCAACCTTCCTTCTGAGGAGTGGCTGGTGGGCTTAAACCACCACTATATTGAGTGGTTATTATATTCCAAGTATTGTTCTATTCACTGTGCATAATGTCTTAGTCAGAACTCTCTAGAGAAATAGAGACAGTGAGTTGTACAACTAGATACAGATTTATAGAGGGATTGATTTACTTTGAGGAACTGCCTCTTGCAGTTGTGACAAGTCCAAGATCATTAGGTTAGGAAACGGACTGGAGACTCCTGCAGACTTGCATTTTAAAATCTGCATGTGCGACACAGTGAATTACCTGGTATGGCTTTTCTAGCCATAGTCTTTGTAACTTCCACCAGATTACTGGGGTGTGACCATGCTAATAAGGTGTGTAGAACTCTCATGTTGGAATTGGTTAGTTTAGTCTCTCTGCCAGGCTTAAAATGAGCCCTCCTAGAGGGGGGATCTCATTGCCATCAAGAGAGAAGAGCTGGCGGTGAAGTGGAGTGTGTCTTTGGATGTGAGTGAGATCCCTGTGCTGGACCTCCTTGGCAGAGAGGTGCCCTGGCAGAGACATGCCCTTGCAGAGAGATGGCAGCCGTGGAACCAAGAGGCATGAGACAGAGCAGCGGGTTTTTTCCAGCCCATGGAGTGAGAAAGCTGAGTGCCCTTGGGCAGGAGGCTGGCTGATGGATTAGGGTGCACCTAGATATACCTATCAGGATAGCTAAAAGAGCTTTTTGACACTTGTCCAAGCAGGACAGAGGCCAGGCTGAGAGGCCAAGGGCCAGAGAGGCATGAGGGCACAGCAGAGGGCAGACTGTCCTGATCAAAGAATTGTATCCTGAGAGTGTTCTTGAACCTGAATTGTAGCCTGTTACTTCCCTATAATTGTGAATATTATCTGTGAGTTCTGTGTGGCCATTGTAGTGAATTATCAGATCCAGCAGAGAAGTAGTGAGTACTGTGGGAGGGATGGTTGGTATCAGAATTGGTAAAAGGCTGGAGGGTGGTGGCATGTCTGGCCTCACAGGAATAAGCCTTGGGCTGCTGATTGTGATTCTGTCATCCTCTTGTGAAGTTAGAGGAGGTCAGAAGATGTCCCCTCCAGGCCCTTTGTGCAATATGTCAGGCAAGGGAAAAAGTAAAGAGAGAGAGAATTCTGGCAAAATGTCTATGTCTGGTCTAAAAGCAGAACACAGATAGGAAACTCGCTTTTTACTCTGAACTTTCAACTGATTCATTGAGGCCCACTCAAATTATGGAAGGTAATCTGCTTTACCTTAAGGCTACCTGTTTTTTTTTTTAATCACATGCAACTATAGCACCCATACTAGTGTTTTAACAACCAGATGCTGCAGCCTAGCTAATTTGACACAAAATTACATCATTCACATATAAATTTATTTAGTCCTCAAGTGATTGATTGAAATTGCTACTTTTACTATAACTTATTTTACAGGCAAGATAATTGGAACAAAGAGAAGTAAAGTAATTTGTCCAAATTCACAGTTAGTAAATGATTGAGTGAGATCAAAACCCAAAGCACACCATTCGTCTTGGCATCAGTTTTGACTTAGAAAGATCCCATTTGTTGCAGAGTAGAACTGCACTCTACATGCTTTCCTGGCAGTGGCCTTGCAGAAGCAGGTCCCAGGCCTTTCCTCCAAAGCACGTGTACTGGTTCGAACAGTCAGTCTTTTAGTTAGTGGGTGGGTGTGTAAGCATTGGCACCACCAGGGACTCCTGTGGTGGTGGTGGCTGTATACTTTCCAGTTGATTTCAGCTCATAGTCACCCTATAGGACAAAGTAGGACTGCCCTATAGGATTTTCAAGGCTCTATCGCTATGAGTTCAAATTGACTCAATGGCAGTGAGCTTGGTTTTTTTTTGATAATCTTTTGTTGTTGTTGTTGTTTGCTGTCGAGTCCGACCCAACTCATAGTAACCCCTCCTTGGGTTTCCGAGGAAGTATCACTACTGAAATAGATTGCCCAACCTTCCTTCCGAGGAGTGGCTGGTGGGTTTGAACCACCAGCCTTCTGGTTAGCAGTCAAGTGCCTCAGGTGGTAATCTTTAGAGGAATAGATCGCCAGGTGTTTTCTCCCCGAAGCCACTGATGGAATCAAACTGCCTACCTACTGGTTTGCAGCCAAGTGTTTAACCATTACTGAGTGCTCATATATTCTACATTTTATAAATGTGAAAACGGTAGCCCAGAGATCATACAGCTGGTAAGTATCACAGACAGAACTGCAGCTATCTGAACCCAAAGTTAGATTCTTAATTACTATTTTGTACTATAGGCCATGACCCTACTTTTCCTAACACATTAAGAATAATACAAAAATGTTATGTGCCATCGAGTCGGACCTGACTCATAGTGACCCCTCCTTGGGCTTCTGAGGCAGTATCACTACGGAAGTAGATTGCCCCATCTTCCTTCCCAGGAGTGGCTGGTGGGTTTGAACCACCAGGCTTCTAGTTAGCAGTCAAGTGCCTTAGGCACTATGCTACCAGAGCTCCCAATATAAAAACAGTAGATGAAATTAATAATAGGATAAATGATGTATTTACACTGTCAAGAATGGTAGGATTATATGATTTATCTAACTAGTCACATCATACACATAGCACTTTTAAAGTTATAAATGCATGAAGTAATTTACTGCTTCTTTTAAGCAGTCTCACTATTTTTCACGTTTGATATAAGATGATTTTTTATGCAACTGCCTCTTTTTTCTCACTTTTTAAACTTAGTAGCCTTGTTTGTATTCGTGGCTTGAGTCAAACTTGTTCAACTTCCTTAAGAAAAACATACCATGTTTTCCACAAAAAAGACACCCATGTAAGCACGCATAATGCACAAATAAAGCTAATGTGCGAGGAGGTTGCATGGTTTGTAAAAATAGTATCACTTGCTTGTTATTTGCATAAAAACACAACACTTACAAGAATGATGATGATGATGATGGTGATGATGACGATGATGATGATTTTTACCTTTTCTGTATACTTTATATATGGCAGGAACAGTGATAAGTAATTTACATGCACTGTTTTATTTAATCATGATAAAAATGTTATGGGATAGTTATTAATAACTGAAGTTTAGGATTAAGCTAAATAATTTCATGAGGTCACATTATTAGCAAATAGTGGTTCTCTGATTTGAATCTAGGCTATTTTGGAAAAAAAATAGCACAAAAATATAGAAACATAACTATTCTGAAATATATAATTCTTGTTTTAACACTGATGGCTTTCCTCAATTTCTAATTGAATGCTGTATATATTTATTTTTGTGGAAATTATGAGAATGATCACAGTTATCTTGCTAATAATCTGTTAACTGGGATGCTAATTGTAAGCTATTTAACATATT